CCGAGGTCCCGTGTACACATTGGCGTGCACGTAAAAGATGCCTTGACAGTTGGAATTCGATATAAGAGTAGGTCGTAGTGTCGTAGTGCCGCTGTCCGGGCAAAATTTCCCTCATAGCACACTGTATGTAAGCCCGTCTTCATTAGCCCAGTTCGGAACAGAACAGTAGGATGTTAAACCCCATTTCATTTCATTTCATTTCTGTTCGTCGAGTAAGTTTATCGGAATATTCCGGTGTTGTTCCCACTGTCAGTGGTGCATGACGGGGGGTCTGACAAGGATAACTGTCTAGTCGTTCGGATTGGACGAAAAACTGACGTCCCACATACACTTTGACAGATGGAATGCGATATAAGAGTAGGCCGATACACCGCTGTCCGGGGACGTTAAACCCCATTTCATTTCATTACATTTGAGGAATTAATTACTACGACATCGGCTTCTGTCTATCCACACAAGCAAACTGAGATAGCCACTTAATCAGCCATTTTATGGTTGATATAGTTGTTTTAGATTTCATCTTCCAGTCCTTTGCTTTATAAATTGAATTATTCTCACCGATCCCCTTTAAAGGAGCTAAATCGCTAATATTTGGGACCTAGAAATTGACAAAAATGGGTCGCGACGCATATAATAATGTAATATGAATGTATATAAACTGATTTACATTCAATCGTTTCTGTTTTTACTGTAATTTCTAATCAGTTATATTCGGCAAAACACGCCAGAAGTCTCAATTGAATGCCAATCTTTAGCGTCTGGTTATGCCAGTCTACACTGATGATATTTATTACGCATGCTCTCCAGATAAGGATATAGCGTCACCATTTGACATGACTTGTGGGTCTAGCCGCGTTCTTTGAGTCCCTTGTTCCAAATGGCGCTGAAACGCATTATGGTACACGATTCGTGTACCAATGGTAAAATGTTTATTTTGTCTTAAATATTGGATATCAGAAGCCCATCTTTTCCCTGTAAGATCACAGGACCAATGTTGATTTAAATTGACAAATGATTCGTGTTTTCAATGTCGAAGATTTTTGATGATATTGAGTTAGAGACTTAGCTACTTTAAATTGCAATGACAATGAAACTCGACTTCTAGTATAATCAGATTAAACGAAACTTCATAAATCAATAATTGCCAAGAACTCAATTTTATCTCAAATAAATCACAACCTTTAAACGGTTTTAACTGGCAGTTTTACATTTTCTACCCTTCTTGTTTTTCTTGTTTTTTTAAAGGTTATCTGCTTCATTCCCTCTATATCTAGCAAACGTCAATCCAAGAGTCGCCGGATAAAAAAAAACCCATAATAACCAAACAAACATCTCTTCCAAAACAACTTTGATTTCATATTGAAATAAAATGAACTCGTTAAAAAAGTTGGATCTGCTTCCCGATTCTGGTTCAATATAATAAAACATGCCACTGCATTTAAAAGTTTTGACAAAAAAAAATATTACAGAAAAAGTAATAAAACTTGAATAATATTTAGAGAATAAAGGAGATTTAAATCGTCTTCAACATAATGTATAAATGAAATCGATTTTTTTAAAGCACTTTAAAGTTTAAATTATAGATTTTTTCTAGAAGACATCTTTAAGGTTGTCAGTCAGAGTTTAGTATTACCCGTGACGAATCCACTTCGGAAATATCATATTTCACAAAGGAATTGGTAAAAACATATTTCTATGTTTTCGAGCTGTTATAAAGTTTGGACTAGGTATGTGGATACTTGCTTAATGGCGTAGTACGTAACTGGCTTCCCCCATAGGCTAGGTCTGATACTAAACGTACCGTTCCAAGCTGACCTTGTGAAATAGATTTGTTTGGCGAAAACATGATACATGAAAGAGAGAGAGAGAACATGATACAAAAGAGATAGAGAGAGGGGGGGGGGCGTTTAACGTCCTCTCGTCACAAACTAGGTCATTTCGGGACTAACATATTATGGTTATTAACATATTATTTTATTTCAATAATTCGCTTACGTGTGGGGGGTTGGATGGCTGAATAGTTAGCGTGCGCGCTGTATCATAAAGTCTGTCATTGAGTCGACTGTCGTGGTTTCTAATCCCCGGTTGTACGTGACAAGGAGTAGGGTCGCCTGTCCAGCCTCGTGGGTTTTCCCCGGGTCCTCCGGTTTCCTCCCACTGCTAAAGACCCTATGCGCAAGTGAATTATTGAAATAAAAAATTAAACCATATGTTAGTCCCGAAATGATCTAGTTTGTGTCGAGTGGACGTTAAACCCCATTTCTCTCTCTCGCTTACGCGTAGGGGTCTTTAGCAGTGGGAGGAAACCAGAGGCAACCCACGAGGTTGGACAGGCGACCCTACTCCTTGTGACGTACAACCGATGAATGGAAACCACGTCCACTCGTCACAAACTAGGTCATTTCGAGACTAACATATTTCAATTTTATTTCAATAATTCGCTTAAGTGTAGGGGTCTTTAGCAGTGGGAGGAAACCGGAGACAACCCACGAGGTTGGACAGACAAAATAACAAAAGTTAAGCAATAACAATTAACTCTGGTAAATCATAGGTATGTTTAATAGCACGGGAGACCACACCACACACAATTACACAAGACAAACCTACGGACAGGCGACATAACAAAAGTTAAACAATAACAATTAACTCTGGTAAGTAATAGGTATGTTTAATAGCACGGGAGACCACACCACACACAATTACACAAGACAAACCTACGGACAGGACACACAATATACATACACATCACAAACAACAAACGCACAATCAGATCAAGTTAATTAATCTGGAGACTAGCCAACCTCATGGGTTTTCTCCGGGCCCTCTTGTTTCCTCCCACTGTTAAAGACCCAAACGCGCAAGCGAATTATTGAAATAAAGTTGAACGGTGTGTTAGTCTCTCTCTCTCTCTCTCTCTCCCTCGCTCTGTCTCTCACTCTCTCTCTCTCTCTCTCTCTCCGGAGTCTAGCCGTAAGCATTCACTGCCCTGTACTATCCAAGGCCTATAGTGATACAGGCTTCATTCAAAATACAGGTAAACAAATAGTGAAAAATGTGTAGTGAGTAAACAGGAGCGAAACCCGAAACACCAGAACATTCTACAGTACGGAGGGCTAAAAACTCCACTCTAATACTAAGTGCAGGGGGGCTGCACCACTCACAATTACACAAAACAAAACTACGGGCAAGACACAATACGCAGACATCACAAACAAACGTACATATCAGATAGAGTGAATAGTACAGTGCGCGGTACAATCCATGGCCTGTAGTGATTCAGACTTCACGGACAAGACACAATACGCAGATTTTACTCAAAATGAAAAACAAACCAACAATATGAGAGAATAGTCAGCCTTGTTTATTTTTTTATCTACGAAGGCTAGGTTTCCAAAATGTCTAACAGTAATCTTATATTTCAGACTGACTTCTTGGTGATCCAGACCTGTTTCACAAACGGGCAATCCAGTGCAAAAGGTAAAAAAAAACAAAAAAAAAAACCCCAATGAACTTTGTGGAATATAGAGTGGATTTTTTTAAACTAGAAGCGCTGGCCTTGTGTATTTTCAGATCTATGAAGGCAATGGGAATGTTCGATTGAATGTTCTGGAATTGAATGCTGTCAAAACCAAAAATTGTGCGGATGCTCGATTGAACGTTCCGGAATTGAATTCTGTCAAATCCAAAATAGTGACAATCGAGAGAAAATGGGATTTGGTGGTAGAACGCATGCGCTGACTGCATGAGAAAATGGGGGTGCTCGATTGTCAGACCGGAACGTTCCGAATTCCACGCCACTCGATCGCAATTCCGTCAATTCGGAACGATCCGGCATGATAATGTGTTAATGGGGGTACTCGATTGAACGTTCCGGAATTGAATTCCTTCAATCCCAAAGATAGTGACAATCGAGTGAAAAGGTGGATTTCGGGCTACAACGCATGCGTCGACAGAATAGGTTAATATCTTAACCAACAATGCAGCCGAAACCTTTTAATTACGTCACGATTCTACTCACACCACCTCCGTTGTCGGGACTGACAGAACTGTGACAGAACTAAATTCCGCGTTACTAGATTGCAATTCTGTCAATTCGGGACATTCTGGACTGTGAATCGAGCATCCCCATAGTAACCCCATATGTCAGACAGACGTCTTGTTGACCGCGACTTGTTTGACAAATACACCATAAAATGCTAAATGTAAACAATAATAAACAACTTTATGGAACATAGTGGGTATGTTTAAGACAGAAGCGTGTGTCGTGTATATTTGTCTGACCTGTGCTTGATTGTTATTTTGTTTGGTGCGATCGTTCTGCATGCACTTTTTCTGGTGCAACTCTTCTGCACCCCTTCACTTATTATTGTATTAATGTAAATGGGGTTTAACGCCTCGTCGACACGTGATTTAGTGCATAGGCTAGTTCTAAACGAGTGTCTCCACCTAGCGAGAGAGATAGAGATGGGGTTTAACATCAACTCGACAAAAACTAGGTTATTTCGGGACTAACATATGATTCAGTTTTATTTTAATAATTCGCTTGCGTTTAGGGGCCTGTAGCAGTGGGGGGGGGGACCAGAGGACCCGGAGAAAACCCACGAGGTTGGACAGGCGACCCTACTCCTTGTCACGTACGTACTACCGGGGATTCGAAACCACGCCAGTTGACTCAATGACAGGCCTTACGATACAACACGCGCGCGAGAAATAAGAGGGATATAAATCTGTTTAAAATCGTACCCATCAGATGACATCGAGAGTTGTCATGTTAATTAATGTCTAATTAATAATTTAGATAACATATCAGGCCTACAGAAAGACCTGCAATAGGCAGATTTAGCTCTTGCAAAATGCATGTTTAATAGCTCGGTAGGTGCAAAAATGTCGGACGTTAAACCCCACTTCATGTCATGTGTTTGTAAAATGTAAAACTTGTCTTACCCGTTTAGTACCCAGATGTTTTTTTAGAGCAGGGTAAAATATAAAAGGTGTCTTACCCGTTTAGTGCCCAGATGTTGTATAGAGCAGGGTAAGATGACACTGTCACCTGGCCGTACTGTAAAGTTGGTTGGTGTACTGACGAAACGTGGCGGGGGAACGTTAGAGTAAGGCGAGTCAGGATCACTGCTTTCTGTAACAAAACCAAAAACAACGTTATAACAACAAAATAAGCTGCTGGATCTAGCCTATAAACAGCCATTACAGATATTGATATTTCGTTTCAAAGTATTTTCAATTCGGTTTTATGATCTGGGGCCTATTTCACGCATTTTTTAACAAAGATAAAATCCAAATTTTAGTAATTTGATTGGATAATATTAGATTGATTTTAGTGCTTAGCCAATCAGAATTGAACTATTTACTAAAATTTAGATTTTATCTTTAGTTAAGATTTCGAGAAACTGGGCCCTGACTTTTATTACAGGAATTTTATTGATCACGTTATCACGACAAGGAATTTGCCTTTGGGGCAATTGTGTGATTTTCCGACCAGATATAGGCGACTCTGTACCGATGATTGTGTATGTGTTACTAACACAGACAATAGCTCAATCTGGTTAAAACACAGATCTTATTTCGTTTCGCTTTTTTATAGTTCAAAATTTCGTTTTACTTGTCTTTACTACACTAGGATCTGAAAGAGTTGTTATATAGCACGCGTTCTGGATGATGTGACGGATTAGCCAATGAAACGATCTGTTACGGCGAATGTATGACCTCATAGGGTCAAAACCGATCGTATGACCTCTGACGCGACCTCCCACTGCAACTGGTCAGATGTAGTAGAGGCCATCGATAGTATAAAAAGACGAAACGAATTATAGACCTGTATTATAATCAGTGGCTGATAAGGACGACAAAAAACCCAATCAATTTAACAGGTATCAATTTAACAGGTATTTTATAGACTGGGTGCCATGTCTCCACTGTACCGGTTTTATTACAGCTGACGAGAAGTGGGGTATCGTACAGTGAACAGGGTGTGCATACTATTTCCATACCCCCTGATACCATGTACAATATATTTAATAGACAACGCTATCATCTACATAATACATCAGGTCCGTAGCTACCGGAGGGGGGGGGGCACTGTCTCGTGACTTTATAGGGCGCCCATACTGATATGGGGTCGTTGGCTAGCTATGGGCCTGTACATGGAGTATAAACAGATACGAATTATAAAGTTAATGTAAACAAATTGTCCTTAAAATTAATCTGTCTATTGAAAGTCTTTCTTTTGGTCTCAAACTATTAATTAGACATTTATTAACATGGCAAGACCATATTCAACGTTCTTCATCATCGAATGGATGTGATTTTCAGAGGGTTGAAACGCGATCTTCATTGAATAATTCAGTTTACAAAAAGACAATCGAGACTTTGTTGATTATCGTAACAATGCTAGTTGTCAATCGAGACTATATTGTGCAACCTATAAACTATAAAGACTAATAACTACAGCACGAACAACCAACTGTTTGTATAAATATTACAGAATGCATCTTTAAATAGCACGTTACCTTAGTAACTGTGTTTATTATCGTAACAACAATGGCAATGACTACACTGTTCTTGAAACGACCATGCTCCGCCCCTAATGAAGTAATAGCGAGAACTGTTAGCTCTTTATCTAAATCTTACATAATGTACCTTTAAATATACATTATCCAAGAGCTAAATCTGCCTATTGCAGATCTTTCTTTAGGCCTAAAATGTTATCTAAATTATTAATTAGACATTAATTAACTCTCGATGGAATCGGATTTCTCCGATATTAAATAGGTTAGAACAGTTCAGCCATATTTTGATTTAAGCTAAAAATGGAGGAGCGAGACTTAGATTCGAACAACCAGTACGGTGGTTGAAATTATTGCACACGTCTTGTCAAACCTTCAAAGGTTAATATCTTCGCTTGCAATAAAGTAATTTGAATGAAATTTTCAAATTATTCATTTTACATTATCTATTTTCGAACTATTATAGCAAGAATGGCAATCTCTTTATCTAAATCTTACATAATGTATCTTTAAGTCTACCGTTTAGTGCTTTATTCGTTATGGTATTCTAATTAGAAATAAAGAGCAGAAAACTTTAGGTCATTAAGAAAAAGTAGGCCTATTTATTGTCGTTATATAACATTCAATGAATGAGTACTCATTGTTGTTATCCTATTATAAAACAATCGTCAAATAATCAATTTTCATGAGACATTTCATTTTAGATATGGAGGAAATATAGTGATCATTACACTCTGCCTTGTGTACAACATTAACCGAGTGGTCTATGGTATTTAAGTGTAGTTTAATGGTCGAGTACGAAACATTAAGTAATATATTGGATAGCACGAGGGCTATATCTATATATTACGCACAAGATCATTAAAGCTCAATACCACTCTTATTGTAACTGAAGAATATGTCCCAATCTTTATTCTGGTCAACAAATTGTACTATTTTACAATATCCCAATTAATTCATCTTAACACACCTAATTTAAAAAATTGGAAAAATTCAACTAAATGATTTAAAAAGCCTAACGTAAAGCTTTTCAAATGTGACTTGGATTTAAAAATATTTTTGAACCCTCTGGACAAGTAAAATAGGATTTAATGGATAATTTACACAACAGGTAGGACACTAACACATTTAGTACTTAGAATAAGGCTATTATTTATTTTCTGGAGCTGTCAAGCTAGCAAGAGTGTTATTGTCCCTTTAAACAACTTAAAATACAGACACTATCCAGCAAGTGCATTTCAATGAAATACGCCACACGGGTCCTATATTTTAACTAGTATAAATAATGTACGCTTGGCACATTGCCCGTACATTATTTGAAATAATGGTACGCCAACATCAAAGGATGACGTCACATATAATTCGGGTTATATCTGAACCACAGACACAAGTTCATTCTCTAGCTGAAAGGGGCATTATGAGACATTAGATAAAGAATTGACTGTTGTCGCTTTAATAGTTTAAAAATAGATAACGTAAATAGAATATGCTGAAAATGTCAGTCAAATTGCTCCACTCGGAGCCGAGGTATTAGTAACAGGGAATGCTTACCCCCTAATGGGGGGTTGGATGGCTGAATGGTTAGCGCGCTGTATCATAAAGTCGGTCACTGAGTCGACTGGCGTGGTTTCGAATCCCCGGTTGTACGTGACAAGGAGTAGGGTCGCCTGTTCAACCTCGTGGGTTTTCTCCGGGTCCTCCGATTTCCTCCCACTGCTAAAGACCGCTACGCGCAAGCGAATTATGTAAATAAAATCAAACCATATGTTAGTCCCGAAATGACCTAGTTTGTGTCGAGTGGACGTTAAACCCCATTTCTCTCTCCCTCTCTATTTAGTCGCTTACCCCTAATAGTCTCATAGGGCGTGACAGGTGAAAGAGAGAGAGAGAGAGAGAGAGAGAGAGAGAGAGAGATGGGGTTTAACCTCCCCTTGTTAGTGGTACAGGACGGAGGGGCTGGCAAAGACAGCTGTCTAGTCGTTCGGATGGGACGAAAAACCGAGGTCCCGTTTACAAATTGCGTGCACGCAAAAGATCACTTGGCCATAGTATCGCTGCCCGAGTACAATTTCCCTCATAGCACAATGTATGGCGTATGCCCGTCTTCATTAGCCCATTCGGGGCAGAACAGTAGGAAGTTAAAATCAATTTCATTTCACTATTGGGGGGTTGGATGGCCGAATGGTTAGCATGCGTGCGCTGTATCATACGGTCTGTCATTGAGTCAACTGGCGGGGTTTCGATTCCCCGGTTGTACGTGACAAGGAGTAGGGTCACCTGTCCAACCTCGTGGGTTTTCTCCGGGTCCTCCGGTTTCCTCCCACAGCTAAAGACCCCTACGCGCAAGTGAAATATAGAAATAAAATTAAACCATGTGTTAGTCCCGAAATGACCTAGTTTGTGTCGTGTGGACGTGAAACCCAATTTCATTTCACTATTTATTCTGTTCAGCGTAATGTCCCTTTACGGTTTGTATATGAAAATGGTGGGCATATGACACCAAATATATTATTATAAATCCATTTGACGCTATTAAAAGGCGTTTACTGCTTCATGATTAATGGCATGATTAGCAGAATAATCGACATTTAGACATGGAATTAATTCAAACATAACGCCATTTTACCACATTAAGATGAAACAAACCATTCTAGGTTTACAATAAAAATATTAAATGAACTGAAACTAGGTGTAATTAGCACCCTACATTCCTGCACGGTTAATGACGGCGGCCATACATCATACAGTGTGGGCGGGGGGGGGGGGGGCGGAGGGGTAGAAATAGACCTGAATATATAATCTAAGATTCATAGGAATTGGGTGATGTAAATGACCACACATTGAGGAGAGAGAGAGAGAGAGAGAGAGAGAGAGAGAGAGAGAGGATGTTTAACGTCCACTCGATACAAACATCTATGGTTCAATTTTATTTCAATAATTTGCTTGCGCGTGGGGGTCTTTGGCAGCGGGAGTGAACTGGGGGACACGGAGAAAACCCACGAGGTTGGACAGACAACCCCTCCCTCTGTCACGACAGTTGACTCAATGACGGGCCTTATGATACAATACGCACGCGCTAACCATTCGCCCCCCCCCCCTTGTAATTCGAACTGATGCGTTGTTACAGTCATTTGGACAAGCGTATACGATTACACCCATGTGAATTTCTGTTCAAAACTAATTTTAAAACAAATAGCACTTAGTTCCTCTGCGTCAAAATGACATTTTTCAGATCTTATAATGTACATGCAGTGCCGGATTACGATCGGCTGCTGTTAATTATCGGGGGCGTGTCCAGGGATTTGAGCAGCTGGTGGGGGGTGGGGCAAGGTGGAGACAACGTCTGCTGCTTATTATCAGGGACGTGTCCAGGAATTTGAACAGCGGGGGAGTCCAAGCTAGAGACAACGTCTGCTGTTTATTATCAGGGGCGTGTCCAGGAATTTGAACAGCGGGGGAGTCCAAGGTGGAGACAACGTCTGCGGTTTATTATCAGGGGCGTGTCCAGGAATTTGAACAGCGGGGGAATCCAAGTTGTAGACAGCGTCAAGTTGTAGACAGCGTTAGGCTGGGCAGGCGGGGGGAGGGGGGAGCTTTGAGACAACATATCTGC